CTAGATGCATTTCCAAAGCCTTGTTTCCTCGTCACTTGATGGGCTTCCTGTAACTTGAAGTTGAACGTTGCCATTTTGTTTACTTACGTCTGTGACGTCATTTTCATGGGAGATAACTCGTGTACAAATCAAGAAACTCAAAAGGTTATTCATCAGTGAATAATAGGTTTAATCACCGCTGGTATAAATTTTTAGGGTTATTCGTCCCTCCTTGCAATTAAATGAAAATTAACTGAATTATTCCATGTCACGTGATAACGTGTTACCCAATAGAATTGTTTATTATATATGTAAGGTATAATAATACCAACTCTTGTGTTTTACCTTCTTTTTGCCCTGCTTTGGTAATCTTAAACATAATTTAGCAGCATCTAAAATAATAGACTCCAACTTATCACTTGCAGCATCTATTCTTTCTTGAGAGTTGACTATATCTGTCTAAATTCTGGTTTAGAAATGACGTCTAGAAATTTTATACTTGAAGTTTCATCCCATATAAACTGTTTGGGACATTTTTTATATGTTTGATTTTTAGTTTCAACACAAGGATTTGCAGAGCTAATAATGCACCATTGCAAAAGACAATGGGCATCAGATAAGGTAGGAATGAAGTCCTCAACCTTAAAACATAAAGTTTGATTCAATAATGAATCAGATATTAGAGTATAGTCCACTGTGCTCGACCCATTTGTAGTATGGCAAGTAAATTTACCGTAATCTACCATTTAATATGCGTAGATTTTGGCTGGAACAAAGATCTAATAGATTTTTACCACTTGAGTGTATTTGAATCAAAACTTTCCCTAGGCTTACAATTATCAATCTCATATGTTTCAAAAGTAGGATTATGATGATTTTCATCTCTCAAGATGAAATCCTGTGAGTTACCAACCCGGGCATTAAAATCGCCACAGATAAGAATGTCCCCTATATCGTTATACTTAGATACATCTTCTTGTATGAGGTCGACGATAAATTTTTCACCGTTTTTTTCAATACTTTTGGTAATCGGTGACTGCGAGGGAGGATCATTAACTACACAACAATAAACATCTTTGGGAAGATGAAAATCCTTTTTGGGAATAAACCAGTGGAAGTTGGTGTTTGTTATTTGAAGTATTTTAATTCCTTGTTTTAGATTAGTTTTATAGAGAATGGCTAACCCCCCAAAATGCCTTTGGTTCCTGGAAATGTCTCTGCAGATTGGGAAATAGTTAAAGCCGGGGAAGCTAATGGGGTCACCATAACCTACATGTGTTTCTGCCAATAAGACAATGTCATGTTCAGAATTTTTTTTAAGAAAAAGGGGGTCCAATGTTTTGTTTAAGAACAAAGTTTTGGAGATTAACCCACCTATATTCCAAAAGCACATCTTAAGATTTGAGATCTTCATATTTGCTTATCTATAATATTATTGTTGTACAATAAAAAATGTTATATGAGCAGGCAAATTAAGAAAAAAGTAACAATAATACAATAGTTACATTTGGTAGATGAAATCTAATGTGTAACCTTTCTACAGATGGCAAAAAAAAGCCTGTTATTTTGAGAAAAAAGTTACAATGTTGTATGTGCTATAAATGGTAACAATGTTATATGATTAACTGTTGTATGTAATGAGTATTTGCCCAAAGAGTATAATAATACCTTTGTTATTGGACAAAAAAAAAACAAATATGACTAAAAAACAAATAAAACTATTTAGCAAAAATTAAGGCCTCTGATGATTTTGTTTTGCCTTTTTAGAAAACTTTAGCTGAATTTGGAGTCAAGTTAATTTAAGTAATGGAATATAAAGTGAATTTGAATTAAAATGTATTAACTTGCAAAAAATTAGAATATCCTGACCTGAAAATGTATTTTAACCTATATATAAACATCAAAACCGATTTTGGTATTTGCGTATAAATTTGTTATTATATGAAAAATATTTAAGATTAGTAATACCATCTCTCCAATACATATATATATATATGCATAACTTATATAGTGCAATAGTTGCTCTTTCAAAAATGTTCAATCTATATCAAGCATGTAATTTTAATATATGAAAATAATTATATATATAATATAATGTTAATTGTTAAGGCTTGATAAAAATAAGCTACATATATGCATGCCTTGAAACTATGTAAATTAACCAGTCTTTTGGTTTTTTTTGCATTTGGTTTATTTGCGTTTTCGCTATTTGAGTTTGGTTTGTTGACAAAGTACTTAATACCCAGACATGTACATATTGACTCTTTGAAGTTTGTGGCTAACTGAGAAGTCCCTGCTTGGCTCAGATGGTATTTGTCAGTCATGTTGAGAAATTTGGACTGCAGTACACATCTGCGTGACAAATTGCTGTTGTCACAAATGAAAACTGATGAATCAGCAAACGTGAACTTAATCATCGCATTCAGTAAGTCTACTTTCGTGTTGTATCCATCTAGCATAAGGGTAGCTAAGGAGATAACTTTCTTAGCTCTAGGCCATTTTTCATTACAAATGTTAACGTTGGATTGCATTTGTTCAAGACAGTATTCAGGAGTGTTTTCTTTTAATTCATTTGTCAATGAGTGTAATAGGACTAATTCGGTTTCTTCTGTTGATTTTTCAATTACTTCAATAGTTTCCTTGAATTTGTAAGCTATTTTCTTGTTTGTAGAGAATTTGGCAGAGAGCTTTTCGCATTCAATGTTTTTAGTATTTGAGGTACCAATCAAGAGAACATGTGGCTTCTTTGGTTTATGAGTTGGCGGAGCCTGAATAAAGCTGTTGTTTTCTGATTGAGATATCGATAATGCATGCATTTTAAGACTTCGGATTTCATCATATTTTTGTTCCATGTCTGTTTTTAACATCTTAATGTTTTCCTCAAGAGAAGTAATATCTTGATTCTTGGCTGAAATTTCCAGGTTCATAGTATCAAGGTCAACATGAAGCTGGTCGATGAGCTCGTTATTTCTTTTTTTAGTTTCACGATGAGATGAAGCTTCTACCTCATTCTTGCTGATGAGAACTGCAATTTGAAGTTCAAATTCATTTTTCTATGTTTGTAGCTTTGTTTCCATTTGGGACATTTTTATATCAGACATATTCTTTTCGGTTTGTGTTTTTGACAAAAGTTGATCATATTTTATTTTGAAGTCACTGTTAATATTCTGGATTTTTTCTTTTAATGCATGAATTTCACTTTGCTGTTTGTCAATTATCTGCTCGTGTTTGTTTGTACATGACTCCTTCGATGATTGTGAAAGGGAAACAAATTTTTCTTGGATGCTTTGCAGTTATGAGAAGCCCTTAGTTCTGAAAATGTTGTGCACTTTGCATGTTAAAGGACCCTTGCAGCAACTCTTTCTGAGGGGTCCATAGTAGGCTGTTGATGTCACAATTCTTACCCATACAATCGCATTAGTCATAAAAAAATATACGCTAACCTATCAGTACTTTATTTAAACCATTTTATTCAAGTACCTAGTGAAATATTTGCCGCTGACAACCGGTATTTAATTAAACAGAATCAAAATTATATTCAATTCTTTAGTAATAAAACTGCTTAACATTCAGAAATATATCTTTAAATGTACATGTTATGTAAAAAAATATCAAATGAAAGCCATTTCCTGTTGGCTTTTTCTTGGGAAACTCTTGTGGGAAAAGTTCACAAAAGAAAAAGAGCAAGATGAATGTGATGACGAGTTTTCTTTAACTGAATAACAGAAAGGTAACTATTAAACTAAAAGAAACAGAAACGTCTGATGCACAATGCGGACCACGAAGAACCATTAGTAACACTATGTTTACAATAGAGACCAACAGTCCATTAACAAAAAGTGAATTGGTTATTGAGGAAGGAAAGACGTCTCAGTATTAGAAATAGGCCATTTTTATAAAGGTTAATGGCCAAACTAGTTGTGTTCAAACAGAAGCAAACAGTAGTCGTTAATTTGACGACGGTCATGAACTTGAAGTTATTGACCTTGAATGCGACTCTGAATTTGACGGAGAAGAATGTATCTAGTCATCTGTAATACTATTTCCGACAGAGAAATTGTTAATTGAAACAGCCAAAAAAAAGAGACATCAGAAGTTATCAGGATACCTGATTCTACCAGATATAAGCACCAAATCGGAGAATTTAACCACTCAAAATATCAAAATCATCAGGAGTTTAATGAGACATTTGAAACATTTGTGCATGAAACCTTTGGTAACATCAATTTATCAGGGAAGGTAGTCTGAACAAGTTTAAGTTTTATATAGTGTTGCAAAAAATGCAAATCGTTTCTCGTCTTCTCGTCATAGACTCGGTAAACAAATGCAGAAAAGGACACTGAACTAAATTCAAAGACTGAAAACCCCTTGGTGTAAACATTCCATGACAATACATTTCTCTTTCTTATTGCTTTCTTTTATCCGTGTTTATCACATTGAAATGTTGTGTCAGGGACTTTAGTATAAAAAAAAAATACTGCAGTCTAAGTGAAATAAGAATGTTGTAGAGTGCAATACTTCTCAATAACCTTTCTTTTCTGTTTTTTTTTTTTTTTTGAAGATAAATGAATATGGTAAAAAACTGTTAACCAATTTAAATTCGCAATTGATTTATTTTTGCGACTTCATCAAGTAAAAAAAATACACGAATATAAATAGTCGCGAACATAAATCGGGAAATCGATATAAAAGGGCTAAACGAGGAAAAAAATATCTGAGAAAATAAGTTGGTTTACAGTAAGTGTGCAAAGATAAAAAAATGCTTGAGACAAAGAAATATAAGAACAAGTATGTCCATAGGACAACATGCCTCGCTTGCACTGTCACGTTTCTATGTTCAGGGAATTGTGAAATACTAGTAGCAGTAGGGGTGAAACCCTAATTTGGCATATTATGTGAAAGTTCACACCAAAATGAACATGTGCACTAAGTTTAATTTGGTGAGACCTCAACTTCATTATGAACTACCTTAACCTAAAACTTTAAATTGATATGGAAAATCAGAAAACATTATACCCCTCTACTAAATAAGAATGATAACCACATGCATTTTATTTAGAACAAACTACACAATTGATAGCTTTGTCGTCGGTGTAAGGAGGGCATGGTAAAGAACCACATTTAGTCGTAGTTACAAAGAGTAAACTACCATCATTATTCACATGTCCGCCGGGAATATATTCTGGGTCTCTGTCCATACAGAGGTAGGATGAAGCACTGTATGCACGATGACCGGAAACAACTAGACCTTGATATTCCTTTTGCCATCCAGAATAGCAAGACTTTCTACCAGGTATCATTAATGTGTTTTGCGTCTTTTTGTTTCTGCAGACTGCACATGGGACATCTTCGTCGTGAGCATCAGGTTTAAGTATATTTTCCTGATATTCTGCGCCATATAATAAGCTGGTACCATTTCCGGATATATTTGTTAGTTCAGGATCACCTGGCATGCACAGTAAATTTGAAGGACCACCATGTCGACTAGTGTATGATGCGTGTAAATAGAGCTGTCCTGCAGCATAACCTGAAAACAAACTTACATTAGGTATGAGGTTTATATTAAATTTCATTAAAATTACGGCCATAAAAGCTCTTTCATTCATATATAAATGGTGTTAAAATACTCAAAGTGCGACCGCTACACAACATTAATCTCCCGCACAAATGTCATGTACATGTTGCTTAAGAGTCTTTAAGAATAAACACTATGTTCAGTTCTTAATCGGTAAAAATAACATCTGATTTAAAATGGTAGTAAATTATAGATGATTACTCTGAATTGATTTGTTTAGTTAAAATGGAAGTACAAGAGTTATTATTTTGGCATAGACGTATATTTTTCTCGATTTTTACAAATTCATCAGCAAGATATTCCAAGCCATATATACAGAACTCTGTCGGGGATAAAAAAAAAACCCATAAAAACTATGGATTGTCTTTCCTTTAATCATTTTACAAAAACACATAAAATTTGCATTAAATATCGAAATAGTCTACAACTGCTATTTGTACCACTGAATAACATTTTGATATTAAAGACGCGTTTAAAATTGTTCCAAAACAAAAGCAATATTTGATTGCGTCAGGTAAATTATCCCGTTAGTTACTAGCTGCCGAGAAAATAGTTGTTCTCTATTGAGGAGGCAAAAAAAATTGTTTTTTTTTCTAAATTATAGAAGGCCATATTATAATTATGAGGCGAAAGGGTGTTCTGAAAGTATGTAGGGCCGATTGACGACAATTTTGACTGCCATTTGAAAATGAGTTAAGCAAGTAAGCTTTACAAAATTTACCAATGGACCCCTCAAATAGAGTTGTTTCTCAAGTTTTGTATCCAGCAAACAATGTAACACTACTTCAACATGTTCTTTTTAATCAGACCGGCGGGTGTAACTACTGATAAAATACTGGATACCTCTCCCATTACTGTTGGTGTCCGACGGAGGAAATCCATATTGTTATATATTTTTTTCACTCGATCTATCCCCATTTTTTGCAATCTTGCATGTTATTCAAACTGTTCATCTTTGTATAAATATCGTTTCATTTATAATTAAATGTGGTTCTTACCTGAGTACACTAATTCTGTGTTATCTCCAGAACAGACTGACCTCCCCCAGCGAACATATGTAGATCCAGCACCTACAATTTAAATGTCCATATATCAGCATTTATTGTAGCCTCTCTCTCATAATACATTGCATTGTCTTTACTTTTTCGTGTATTACTTTTAAGCCACAGAAGACATAAGTCGTACGTTTTTGGTCTTCATACGTAATTTATCGCATTTAACTAATATGAAAATAATGAGATGTGGTATATTGGCAATGATTATAAAATACTACTTAAGTGACAACTTACTTGCATTATTTTCTAGTTGAGAAAGCTGTTCAGTAAGTTTTTGGATCGTAATTTCCATTTGAGCAAATCGTGTTGCAACATCCGGATCATTCAGTAAAAGTCTTTTTGAATTTTCTCCTATAACAACTGCATATATCAAACAAGTTAGGTAAAGCACTTGTTTCATCGCTTCCACCATACGCCAATCTTTAAGATCATATATATGTATATATATAATAGTAAGTTATTATGTATAAAGATAAGACATTAGTTCAACGCTTATGTAAACCAGAAGGTAAAATTGTAACACTCTTCAGAGGACCTCACTAAATCACATTTTGATGACAAATTTGTAAAAAATCATTTAAAGAACCTGTTCTAAAACGGATAACGTGCAATGGTTATATAAATGAAAATAACGCTGTATACATTTCTGAGATTTTCTCGATAAACCTTCATCAGCAACGCTAAAAGCCGAACATTCGAAAGCCAGGGATGTTTGAAAATGTAGAAACGTTAGGAGCTAAATAATCAAAATGGACCTTAAGGATGTTCGCTACTCTATTTCAAAATAACAAGTTTTTTAAATAGACTGTTATAAACTGATAGTACTAAAAAAGAGAACAAAATGCAAGGTCCGTGTCCTTGTTTTTGAGATATAAGGCATTGAAAATTTGGCGGTAAATTATTCTCTCTCGTACATTTAACATTTGGACCTTTTTTCTTTCAAGGATTTCATAACATTTTCAGAAATGGCTTTAACTTTTAAACGATATGTAATAAAATTATGAAAAGAAAATTAGGGGTTAGCGAGCAAAATTTGTATTGGCACAACATGGATAAAACTAGAGGATTCTGAATATATGACAAAAAGTCTAAAACATGAGAAGCGAACATCCTTAAAACCAACTTTGACTGAGGGAGATGGAACCTTCGTTTCTTGGTAATTTCTTAATTCTTCAATGGGAAATTTTAGAAAAATATGTATAAATCATGTCAGTACAAAAGCATGAACTACTTAGCTTGATGACATATATAGAAGTTGACTTTTTCACCTGTGAATGATAATTTTTCCCTTTCACAATATGATGTGATTTCTATTGACAATGTCTTAACTTATTTTACAAATTATTACAACGAAGGGATATACATAAAGCCGACTTTCCAAAGAGTTATCCCCTCGATAAAGGGCTTTAAATAAAAACTGAAGCATGGGAAACAATAGTAAAGTAAAATACTATACATCGCTTAATACATCTAGAACTTGAAAATTCTTTCTAGTATACAATTGAAGGTTTTACCCAATTTCATTGAAAACAATAACAAAATCAATCCAAAATTGAGATACTACAAATACATGTCTACCTCAACACAGCCGTCTGCCATTTCCTCAAAATACTACAAATACATGTCTACCTCAACATAGCCGTCTGCCATTTCCTCAAAATACTACAAATACATGTCTACCTCAACACAGCCGTCTGCCATTTCCTCATTGCAGTTTGTGGTTATCCTGTTGGTAGTTGGACTGTGTAGATTCTATCTTGTCCGTTATACTTTTACAACATAGGGTATAGATAGGTAAAGTTGGAGGATTGTGTTCATGTAAAACTACATACGTTTTGGACACTGATCCGACCACCCCCACCCCCCCCCCCCCCCCTTTTTCTATTTTTTTCCTCTTCTTTCATGTTTTCGATTTTTTGTTTAATTTTCTTAAAATTTCAACTTTTTCCCATTATTTTTAGTGTTCTTGCTCTTATCCATACAATTTTACGATAACTTTACTTTATATGTGCTGCCCGTCTACTCATATTTTAAATTTCCATTAGAGTAAAGAGGCAGCTCGTATAAAATAGCTATTGTAAGATTTGTACAAGAGCAAGACGATATAAAATAAATAAAATAAGAGGATAAGTTGAGATATTAAAGAAAATGAAATGAAAAATATAAAACACCAAGATAAAAAGAGAAAAACAAAAAGCGCTTGTATTTATTTATTTATTTATTTATTTATATAGTTTGTTCTTATGTTGCACTGTTACAAGTCCCAGGTTATTTAGTTTACGCGTTTGTATTGTTTTATATTTGTCATTTCGGGGCCTTTTATAGCTTACTATGCGGTATGGGTTTTGCTCATTGTTGAAGGCCGTACGGTGACCTATATTTGTTAACTTTAACGTCATTTGGTCTCTGGTTGAGAGTTGTCTCATTGGCAATCTTACCACATCTTATTCTTATACTTATGGTAAAACTGGTGTCCGGGTATCTAGACCAAGTATTATTCGTTGGTGTTTTTACCATTATTGTTTTTGAGGATTCGGTTGTATGCGGTTGGTGGGTCGTATGATTACCCTTACGTAGCACCTGACCACATAAAACCTACAACCTCGAAAAACACTTCCTTGTTCTATTTATACGGTATAGATTGCCTTTAAAAAGCCGTATTTGGCAAAAACATTCGGAATTTTCTGTTATTCATGCTCTTTGCTATTCAACTTTGTAATATTTGATTGGCTTTGCAGCTGTTTTGATTCGAGCGCCACCGACGGGGTTGTGGGAAGCATAGTCAAAACATGCAGCGTCGATCAGTTCATGCGCACATCATTTTGGAATTGACAATAATCAAATACAACTAAAGAATGCAACTAATCATAAATATAAGCCATGATAATTTAGTCAAACAAGTTTTTATTTCAGCTTTTACTGGACTCTGGAGGAGGCTGAGTAGGATCTAGTCCATAGAGCTTCATCTGCATTGCTATATGAAACAAGTAATCAAAACTTTCTAACCTGGAAAGATAATTATAACATACAAAATACAATGATTGCACATTTTTCAGAAGCTAGTTTAATGTATCTGTTTCACAATGATTACAAAGTTCGTCTAGTTCTACAAAATACTTCTTATAAAACAAGTTATACTGTTGTTGCAGTAGAAAAGTCACACATGTGAATAGGACTGATAGGCCGGCCATACTACATACAATATCTGAACTGAATATTAATCAATGAGGCCTAAAACATAAGTACAATTTATGTAAGTGGCTATGAAAGTCTTGTTATTCTCCAATCAAATCTACGAAATACAGCTATTTAGATCCAGTTTGGTGATATACAGGGATATCCTGATGGATGAAGCGCACAGCGTTTCTTTCCCCAATCAAACTTTGTCGTTAGCATGTTTAAGAATTATCGAGTTCAATATTTAAAATTGTCATTCCTTAAACACATTTAAAGTATCTATAATGTTGATTTTGTATATGTTATCACATTTAAATTCAAAGCGAATGGACGCCAAAGGGGAGGCATTATTGTTTTATCAGCCAACATCTAAATTGTATTAATCAAATAAAGAACTTACATCAATTTAGTTTTCTCCCATGTAGGACCTACGACATACATTCCATGTCTACGAATGATAACACATGATGTGTCTGGATAGTCCTCTAATGCTGTAGCAACATATGGCTGAAATAATACATTTATGAATGATTAAAAGTGACACACTCTCAAAATGTATAGCTGTTCATGTATATCTCAACCTACTTTGGTAGGAATAATGTACATGAGATTTCAAAGTGGAAGTAAATTTCTGAAAGTTCTATTTTCAACATAACAATATCAAATGTTTGACCCTTTATAGTGTTTCCACATTTTGCATTGACAGGTTGGAGTAGCTGACGGCACTGATACCACACACGTTCCAACTAAGCAGTCATGTTTTAAATTAATTTATTGAAATTCAGACAAATAAATTCTTCTAGTTTTATCAATCAAAACATGCATGGCGAGAGTGAAACTGGACCCTGAACGGTCAATTTCAATTTCTTCTAATTTGAATTCAAAATGCAAACCTTTGAAACTTCAATATAAGTGCTGCTTATGAGATTTATTATTTGTTGTTGATCGTATGGAATACCTGGCAAAATAATATAACTAAGCTTCCAATCATACATTTCAGGAATTGGACATATTTTGAAAAATTTAAACCAGATTCGGTTATTTTTTTACTTAAATTAGAAGTTTTCTTTTGGATGTTTTGTATTTTGATCCAGTCTTTGAGTACCATGGCCGATTAAACATGAAATATTGTCAAAAAAGAATGGACAATAATGAAAGAACTGAAGAAGAATGTTTAGGCTTTATGGAATGAGAGTGACCATATCAATTCTTGACACTAAACATAGATACTTAATGAGTGATAAAGACTCATAACTATTATTCAAAAAAGTGAAAATAAGCAAGTCTTTTTTGTTCTGTTATAAACATAAAAAATCTTAAAGTAGGTATTGTTGTTTGGTGCAAGTTTAAATGGAACCCTTACATTCTATGGGCATCAAGATATTACTTTCATCTTTTTATTAAGACTATGAATTACCTTTAAATATATCTTTTTATAACAAACACCAAAAACATAATATCAGCCATTTGTATATTAAACTTTATAAAATGAATACTCACTGCAAGGTCAATTTCCTCGGGTTGACCTTCAACAATCGGAATAACTAATTCGTCAAAATATTTGTTATTTTTCCCTAAAAATAAATACTATATAGAGTAAGTACGTGTGAAAAAATGTTTTAATCCGATTGTCGAACTCAGCATCTGAGGCAATATAAAATTAATATCCGCTATTATGCCATGAAAATCAGTATGATTATTGCCTGCCATGGAAAATTGTGTTGTTGTCATGTAGTCGCAAACTGATTATCATTATATCAAACCATATATTGTAAAAAAAAATATGTTATCTTGTCCTAGACTTCCACATCATGCAAAGACAATACAATCTTCTGGTTTATTTCTCAAAACAATATGCAACTGAATATCCGATTTTAACTTTTTTGATTCGAGCGTCACTGATGAGTCTTTTGTAGACGAAACGCGCGTCTGAGGTACAAATTTCAATCCTGGTATCTATGATATAACAGGAAATGCTTTGTTTTTAATATTTCAACGAATCAAAAATTTTATAAAGGACATTATCAGACAATCAACGTATCTGTTCTACAGTTTATATCAAATAGCTCTGAAAGCAAGTATAACATGATTTACATAAGATCCGCTATATTTGTAATAACAGTCTTTTATGTTAAGTCGACAAACTTAATCCTGGATACTTCTATACGGGATAGATTGATTGTTGTTTACCTACGGTCCAGCAGCAAATATTCCTTACAACGCACAATCTGATTTCCAAAAGGTGTTGCAAACTATTTTTCACATGCAAAAAGCGTGACACGCTCCCTACATGGTAATTCCGTCCTGAAGCGACTGTGTATTTATACATCCTAAACAGCCAAACGTATGACTCCCTCATCATAGTTTTACTACCGGACAGTTAAAGCCCACACTGATAACCATATTTATATACCCGGGTTTATAAAAAATTGTCAATAATTTTGTAAAAAATACTTTCTTAATAGCACATTATGTAATATAAGTTACCTAGCGTCCAATTATATGTACATTTAATCATTTGTTGGTGAGTTATTCTAAATTCTTTTCCTGGATATAGTAAAGATATTAATACTGCGTTTGGATTGTGAGCATGGAAAACTGCTCCCGCGCCTGTCAAAAGTAGGAAGAATACTTATTATTGATCTACCATATATCCATGGAATATTTCTTAAAATTCAAATGTAATCTGAAAAAAAACAACAAAGAAGTTGTGTGCATAAACACTTTCAAAAACTTTAATGACTTCCAGATTGATATCTCAAAAGGGAGGGTTTTCATTTCGTGGTTTCGTTACCAATCAATTTTAATTTTCATCGTTTGATACATCTTTCTTGTCTTTATTTACAGTGAGTTGGCAAGTGTTTACATAACAATAAAATTAAGCCGATTTAGCTGTCGAAAATCAGAAGGCTCTAGATTAACAATTGAGCGCTGTTGTAGGACTTAGTGAAGAAGAACATTGAAATTAATTCTCCCCTTAGCCGTAATGCCTTTCTATTTGGTACTATTCAGATAGTATTTAATATAACTTGCCTTTTCTTTTTAGGAATGAATTAATGATTAGTGGCGTACACGAGCTTTGAGTTAGCTTCTTGAAGGCTGGTGGAGTCGCAATAGACTTTCCATCTATTGTTTGAACAAAGAGGTCTTCTGGCTAAAATTATATTAAAGTGAGCGATACTTTGATGATGTTAAAATAAATCATTTGTAAATACAAAATATAAAATGTGATATGACCTAAAATGAAAATGTATTCTCCGCAATCTAAAATCATTCAGCCAAAACAAGAAAAAAAAAGATTTGGCTATTCTTGAATAATCGAAGAAATAACCCAGGAACAGCAACTGTGAAAATCAAGCTGCATTTATCTTTTGATAACAATATATTAAAAATAAAAGAAGAATGTGTATGGGGACATGAATGCCCAATATATTAAAAATAAAAGAATAATGTGTCTCTGGACACGAATGCCCCCGCACAAACTGGCTTTTCAAAAGAAATTTGACGGACGGAAAGACGGAAGGTCAAGGGTAACACTTTTAAAATGCCCCCTTCGCCTTGCGGCGGGGGTATAAAAATTCAAAATTACCCATGCACATTTACGTATTGTATGAAAAGACAGCGTAAAACGAGTATAACTAAAACAAAATCTCTTCTTTTCTGAAATAGTGAAAAAACCTGAAACAAACAAATCTGCATTATAAAATGAAATAACAATCTATAAATTTGGTGCATCTGAAGCACTTTTCTCAATTCACCTCAACAGAAACGCTCAAATCTAAGAAATAAACTGAGGTTATAGACAGTATATAAAGACAGGCAATTTTTAATATGCCGCAGCAACCGTTGTCATATTTCTAGTTAATCAAGTTTTAGTAAAGCAATAAATCGGGCAAAAAACTTTGAAGAATAATTACAGTTTATACAGTTTAATTATCTTACTTCCATCAATTCTTTTTGAACACCAGACGGGGTTATGTATATTTCCTCCCTGAAAAGACATTTATACAAATGTTTATTTGTCATCAGCATTCATTGCTGAATGTTGACTAATAGCTAGGTGCAAATAATGCAGAATTTTTTAAGAGGAATGCGAAGCAATGAGTTCAATCTCCATTTGTTATACATTCTAATTAATTGTAAAGAAATGTCCCTAAAATATAACAATTTGCACACAAAATTCTCCATACATCAATTTAGAATTTGTAAACTATGAATGCGAAAAAAATGTCACCGTCTTTACTTAAAGTTGAACAATAGATGTAACTATATTTTACTTAATTTGAATGTTAAACTAGGAAACATGGAAAATAAAAAGGGGCAGAAGTTACCAAAAGGGAAAATGAAAACCCATCACTCGAAGAAAAATCGACAATACCATGGCAAAAAAACATACTAAATGCTCTAAACTAAGAGCCTGTGTCGCTCTCATATATAGATATATGTGCTATTCAACAAAGCACACTTTAATTCATGACTAAAATCTTAAGATTTTTGTAAAAGTGAAGGAACGACGGACGCCAAGTGATTAGAAAAGCCCACTTAGCCCTTTGGGACAGGTGAGCTTTAAAAACCGACGAAAAGTCAAAGAATAGTCTACTAACTACATAGAAAACTAAAGACTGAGCAACTCGGAACTCCACCAAAACGGTCCGATCTCCAAAAGGTAAGCATATTCTGCTACATATGTGGCACCCATGCAAAAGTCTCTATCTCAGTGGCAACTGTTTGCTAAACCATGGAAAACAAAACCAAAGTTACTGTTGCAAAGGAACATCTGCAAGTTAAGTGGCGGTTTCAAAATACCGTTAGCAGATGTTCTAAACAGTTCTATGAAAATGGTGATTGATGTTGCTACATTTAACCACAAATGTAATGTTTATCATGTCAACAATAAAAGATAAATCAATATGAAGAAAACGGAAACACTTTAATAAAACTAAAAATGGCTCTTTAACAGAACAATGGGGAAATCAAAATGGTATATTTAGATGTGGATATAGATGTTACAAATTTCTAATGTTCCTGGTTTTTAGTTATTTCCTAGCCCCATAGCTTTATAATAATCCTGTAAAAGAAGATCAACCACACAAAGCTCATTTACAATCGGTATCTACAAATTATATCATTATACCGAAAATTTCTTATTGTATGAATTGTTTCTGTAATATTTAATACAAGTCTACTCCAATGTGCCATGATTAAGTAAAAAGTCTATTAGCATCCCTACCCTCGTCTTATACCAATAGCTCCTCCAGATCCAGTCATCCAACCAAGAGAATGAAAATGTCGACCTGCTTCTGGGATAACCTTTCGAGGGTTTTCCTGCAATTGAAATCATCATTACCTAATTTTTAATAAGATTGAATAACACGACAACGAATGACATTTTCCACATGGTTCTATGATCGACAGCCCTTTAAAATGATTAATATCACCAAAAAATTGTATCCCGGTTGTATCCTCGTCATAGACTACACGAAATAACGAAACGTTGCATTCGCTGGTACTAGCTTTAATCATCCAGCAGCCGATATGTTATACATAATCATGACACGATCAAGAAAAAAATGTATCAAGTCTTAGAGTACTTATCAAGTCGTAGAGTATATATATCAAGTTGTAGATTATAGGGTAGTTGTGACCGCCTCTTTGAAAGAAAAGTCGTATTTTAGAGACAAACGACGAGAGATTACCAGGTTATGTCTTCAATTTTAAGACATAACCCAAAACTGGGTGAACATAGCGATCTAAGGACAATAACTAATTCTAGGGAGTTGTTGGAATGTCTTGCTTATAAATAGGCGGCAGTAATAGGCATATCTTGATTTTCTGAACATTGTTGACCCTAGATTTTGTGCATCTGTAATAATTGTCAAGATATAAGACGATCAAGGTTGGATTTAGGATTTATGAATCTGGATTTTAGAGTAAAAATTCAAATCAATTGTGAGAAACATAAGAGTCTAAAAACTTTTGGGGCGATACATGGGGACGATCTCTATCCTGGATCGATCCTCTGCTAACGATTACGTACATTTTACTCTTCATGTTCTATTTTAGCCATGCCGACAATGTTGGTTGGTGGACATCTTTTAATTCCAGATACTCTTCGTATAATTGTGGCCAAGTCATAGCAACAGCCCACAATTTGACCCTGTGGACCGACCCCCAGGTGAGTGACAAAAAACATCACGCGAACAGTTCATTTGCTTCGTTAATTTCAAATCTGTTTTCTATATAATTATTTGTAAGTTCCGATACTTACCTCGTTTGTCGGTGTAGAAGAACCATATGAGGCATTTGGAAGAGCACACATATTTTTAACTAACTTTTAAAACTGTCCAATTTTAAGGGGGTCAATATTTAGGACGTTATAGCAAACGGAAATACAGATAAGTAGAGTATGGCGCAAAATTTAAAATGACTCGGATAGATAAACATAGAACTCACAGGTGGGTATTGAAACGCTATAGTCTTATAATAAATAACACCGCCTTTTTATTGACGTATCTATATGTGGAAATGCATTGCTGCCATCAGGGGCGGGTCCAGGTAAGGGCGTAATGGGCGTACGCCCCCCTTTTCAAAAAAAAAAAAAAAAAAAAAAACTATCGTTATCTGCTTATATTGTATTGAATATGGCAATTTATCATATTTATTAATTAAACACATACTCTGATTTCTTTTATACTGATTCCCCCATCCGATTGGTGACTTGGACACCTTTTTTAAACAACCAAAGCGGTAAGTAAATCTATACATGAAATGGTTTGTTTTGTGTGACACTTCCCCAATGGCCATTCTACATCTACCCGGGGGATACTCGCTATATATATGATACCGGGTATGTTCCGACAAACGGGGTTGCATTTTCAGCTAAATTGTCTGAAATGGGGTTATGTTTTTTTCGCCTTGCATTGGAAGGGGTCAGATTTGACTATCTAGAACAGGGTATTATAAATACAATGTTACACTATTGTTTCAGATAAGGGTGAATGTTTGGTACCATTAAAACGTTTAAACCCGCTGCAACTGTTTGCACCTGTCCTAAGTCAGGAATCTGATGTTTAGTAGTTGTCGTTTGTTGATGTGGTTCATAAATGTTTCTTATATAGATTAGACCGTTGGTTTTCCCGTTTGAATGGTTTAACACTAGTAATTTTTGGGGCCCTTTATAGCTTGCTGTTCGGTGTGAGCCAAGGCTCCGTGTTGAAGACCGTACTTTGACCTATAATGGTTTACTTTTATAAATTGTGACTTGGATGGAGAGTTGTCTCATTGGCACTCATGCATACCACATCTTTTTATATCTACTAAATTGAAAACAACGTTCAAACCTATGATTGCGTTGGATAAAAACCGCAATTTTTATACGTGTGCATGCAAAACAAATTTCTTGGTAAAGGGGTCTAAATACAGCACAAACAACATTTTCCAAAAGACCAAAACAGTGAAAAGGTATATTTTAACAAAACGGGTATATATATACATATATATATATCAAAAGTTCAGAAAAAGCTATCGTTAAAGATTTATTTTCCATTTTTCATGCCCATTTCATATAACCTTTTAACTGAATTTATAACTTCTTCCAAAGATTTGATATCCACATGTTAATCAATACATAATTTGAATGATCCGAAGGCAGACTATTTTCACCAATTTGTCTATCATGGAGTCTGTTATAATACTTCATAATTTGATGCTAAATTGTTGAAATCCAGGAGCTTCTGACCTTCCCCATGGACCCTATACCAGGGCAACCGGAATTACGCCTCCTGTTCATAAAATCCTGGCCTAGGACTATTGAAATGTAAAGTAACACCCTATACCCTAGAACTTGGAATTTCTCGTTATTGGTCTACTGCTGTTAAGATCCATCCAATCATTTTAATATACCATAGACAATTAGTGGAGAGAATTTGGCATAAAAAATATCAAACCCTGACACTTTAACTATAAAATATACATGCTCCAAGTCAAAGAACCGTTATACTAGTGCATTTCACAATTATTTAATGTTTTTTAGCCAAAAAAAGGTCCAAAAAAATTTTCGCCTCGCTCCGCTCGGCGACAGATTGTATTCTACGCCCCCTCTTTCAAATATCCTGGAAACGCCCCTGGCCATAACACTGCTGTTATGCATTTTTTTTAATTTTAGTTCCTTTGTTCTATTTATCATCTGTTTGTTCAAATTCGTCTAACTTTAAGGGTTGTATCACATTAATATAAATTTACATTTTTATGCCCCTGTCGTAGCAATGGGGGCATTAAGTGTTACCCTTGATCGTCCTTCCGTCCGTCCAGTTTTCGTTTCCGCACTCTAACTTAAAATTTCCTCATCCAAATTTTATGAAACTCACACACAGTGCAGGTACAGGCCAGAAGCCAGGGGGTCGAGGGGTCGTACGAACCCTTCTTTGAAAACAAAAAAGCACTATAAAAGTCGACGCTATGTTTGAACTGTGACTATAAAAATTGATATTTTGTTTGTCGCGAGTCGATGTATTATTTGATTGTTGGTTGCTTAACGTCCAGTGGCAAATATTTCATATATGTTCAGGACGAGAACACATTCACAATAAGTACAATGGGTAGGTCCTGTAATAGAGGCCGTCCGAGATGAAGATCTTGGAAATTTGGACAGCCATTTGAAAAGGAGAGTTCATTGGATAAGGACAACAATTTTGCCTGGCAAACAGGCCACCTATGGACCCCTCAGATTTTTGCAGGGGTTTTTAACGTGCAGAGAGCGTGGCACTCTCTCTACACGAGGCATCGGATTTAACGTCCTCACTCTGATCGTACGTGGCTTCGTTCTTGTACATCCCTCACAGCCAATCGGAGGCCCCACTTAGTGACCAAATCTATTCACCAGTCACCTTTGTTGTGATTTGGAAATGAATATTCTAGACTGGTTCTAAGTGTAAAAAATAACCTTGCCCAAGACACGATGAAAATGAATATTTTGTCCTACAAAATGTAGGACTTTGCAAGAAATAGTTGTGTACAGAAAGTGTTTGTTATACTTTACGCTGTAATATATGTATATAATGCAGGACCTTGTTGTAAACTATAGTCTTTGGACTAAATATGTTAGCCTGTCGAAATAAAGGAAATTAGTATAAAGAATTTCAGAGATGTTCTTTTCGTTCAAGGAATGTAATTTACGACAGGGATCTACAGTACACAAAGTTTGTCCCAGTTTATTATACACTGAGTATATAACGCGCCATATTTACATAATTTGTCATATTTGATAATCAAATTATTTTTAGGAAATATTTGTTTTGTTTTGTGCATGAAATACGTATGTTTAACTCTGGAAGATGGGGATGGACAGGTAATCGCCAAAAAATTAAAACAGAGTAAGTATGCAATCAAATAAATTTACTGAGAGAACTACGATCGATTGGATTAATAAGTAAATTATTTCTCAATGATTTCTCAAATGTTTAAGCCAATTACTTTTACCGTTTAAGTAAAATAACAAAAATACCGAACTCCAAGGAAAATTCAAAACGGAAAGTCTCATCAAATGGCAAAATCAAAAGCTCAAACACATCAAACGAATGGATAACAACTGTCATATTCCTGACTTGGTACAGGCATTTCCTTATGTAGAAAATGGTCGATTAAACGTGGTTTTATAGCTAGCTAAACCTCTCACTTGTATGACAGTCGCATAAAATTCCATTATATTGACAAAAATGAGTAGTGAACAAAACAAACAGACATAATAGGTAAAAATGTCAAAATAAGGGTACAGCAGTCAACATTGTGTTGTAATCTTAATCACTATAAAAACAAACAAATATGTCAACAAAGAAAAGACATTTCATGATTTCTTATTTGAGTTATTCACCTTTCATTACTATTCAATATTAGAATAGACAGTACTACTTCAAATATAAGTATATTTCTTAGATTCTTCATGTGTTTGTGGCAAATATTTGATAACTGTATCATTATGCTGAGGCAGAGGTAGATTACGCTGAATACAGAGGAGCTATAGAGGCACGTAAATACCGGCATCTTCTCAAGGAAAAGAGACGTGAATATCGGCATCTCAAGGAAAAAACACGTCAATACCAGCATCTCCTCAAGAAAAAACACGAAAATACCGGCATCTCCTCAAGGAAAAAGCACGTAAATACCGGCATCTCCTTAAGGAAAAACACGTAAATACCAGCATCTCCTCAAGGAAAATACACGTAAATACCGGCATCTCCTCAAGGAAAAAACAGGTAAATACCGGCATCTCCTTAAGGAAAATGCACGTAAATACCGGCATCTCCTCATGGAATAGGCACGTAAATACCGGCATCTCCTCAAGGAAAATACACGTAAATATTGGCATCTCCTCAGGTAAAAACACGTAAATATCGGCATTTCCTCAAGGAAAATACACGTAAATACCGGCATTTCCTCATGGAGAAAAACACGGATAAACCGACATCTCCTTAAGGAAAAGACACGTAAATACCGGCATCTCCTCGAGGAATAAACACGTCAATACCGGCTTCTCATCAAGATAAAAACACGAAAATACCGGCATCTTCTCATGGAGAAAACACGTAAATACCGGCATGGCCTAACGGAAAAAACACGTAAATACCGGCATCTTTAAGAAAAATACACGTAAATACCAGCATCTCCTCAAGGAAAAGGCACGTAAATACTGGCATCTCCTTCATGACATAGGCACGTAAATACCGGCATCTCCTCAAGGAAAATACACATAAATACCGGCATCTCCTCATGGAAAATACACGTAAATATTGGCATCTCCTCCGGTAAAAACACGTGAATATCGGCATCTCCTCAAGGAAAATACACGTAAATACCGGCATTTCCTCATGGAGAAAAACACGAAAATACCGACATCTCCTCAAGGAAAAAACACGTAAATACCGGTATCTTTAAGGAAAATACACGTAAATACCGGCATCTCCTCAAGGACAAAACACGTAAATACCGGCATCTCCTTAAGGAAAAGGCACGTAAATACCGGCATCTCCTCATGGAATAGGCACGTAAATACCGGCAGCTTTTCAAGGTAAAAACACGTATATGCCGTCATCTCCTCTAGGAAAAGGCAAGTAGATAATGCTATATCCTCATGGAATAGGCACGTAAATACTGGCATCTTAAGTAAAAGGCACATACATACCGACATCTCCTCAAGGAAAAGGCAATATAAATCTAGTATTTGCTATTTCAAAAGTTTCAATAACCAAATACGAAGAGTAATCAAAATTCTGCGTTGAAGTAACTGAATAGCGTCCAAGTGAAACAATCGCAAAACACTTCGCATTAGAATGTTTACAAGACAAAGAAAATGAACAGTCTTGTT